AGAAAGGGAGAGAGAGAGAGGGAGGGAGAGGGAGAGGGAGAGAGAGACAGAGAGAGAGAGAGAGAGAGAGAGAGAGAGAGAGAGAGAGAGAGAGAGAAGGAGAGAGAGAGAGGTTTTATTTTTGCTCCACAGGAGTCAAGGTTGCTCATTACATGTGACGTGGTCCAGGGTTTGTTTTCCTTTATGTTATAGCTCACATATAGCTCAGTCTGTCGCTCCCTTGGTTCTGCATATTTGCTTCACTGTTAATTCATATAAATGCTCCCAAGTGACTCTGAATTCTTCATATCCATTGTTTCTTTTGGCATGAGAACGTTCCATCACCTCCATGCGCCACAGCTAACTTAGCCATCTCCCAGTCAACAGAACACTCACTTTTCTTCTGAACGTTTGCTACCACAAGAAGTGCGTCTGCAGCCATTTTCCTTTTGTTTTTAACTTGCTTGGGATAAATGCTTAGCGACGATTAAACTGTTCATACCCTTTGCTCTGGCAATATCACTGCTAGACATTTACTCCAAGGAGGTCAAAGAACAAACAAAGGATTTTCCATGTACCAAAGAAAATTCCAGTTGCCCTTTAGAATATAGTTTGAAATCTGGTAATACTAAGACCACTTATTTTCTGCTTTTCTCATTATTTCTCCATTGGAGATGTTGAAGCAAACACTGGATGACCACCTGTTGGGAAGAGGATAGAGATTTCCATGAAGTATGGCTTATACTAGGCAGCTTCTGGGATTCCTTCCAACTCTGAAATTCTGTAAGTTAAATCTTCTTGCTATGGTCTCCTTAATGAATTATTCTCACAAGCCCTCTGGCTCTGACTGCTGGATTGGCATAGAATCACTGAACCTAGAGCTGAAAGGGATGTGAGAGATAATTTAGCCCAGCCTCATCCCTTGATAGATGAGGAAACGGCTGCCCAGAGAAGTTATAGTAAGTGACTCACCCAAGGTCACATAGGTAAGATGTATCAGAGCTGGGATTCAAACCCACATTTCTTGACACTAAGTCCAATGTTCTTTCTACTACATAGTTCTGCTTCTCCTCCACGTCCTCTAACAGATGTCAGACTGGTATTTATAGCTCAGTTCAGTATAACATCGGATTCATGAGTCAAATCAGAAATTTCCTCAACCTTTTTACTAGCCTTTGTAAATACATAGTTTACTCAGACAACTTACAGTGGAATTACATTCTCTCTTGACCAGGACTCTTTTCAAATTCCCCACACCCTCTCATTACTTCCCACCAAATAGGAAGCTTGTCTCCCTCCTGCTAGATGAGGGAGGGAGAGGCAAGAACTCTGACTTTAACTCAGGGTGACTTCTGCCTCAACCCAGCCTGGCTGTCCTCCCAAACCTGCTTGGAAGAAGGTGAGGCGTCCCTGTCCAAGGGACCATCCCTTAGGCCTCTACAGGGACATCAGATGACCTCAACTAGTCACAGATGTTTCATTCCCATGAGGCACTAGTAACTCAAGAAAGGCTCAAGTGATCCTGGAGGGGCACTTAGCCAAGAAGTCAAAGGATCTGGGTTCTTATCCAGGTCAGCTGCTGACTGTTTACATGACCATCGACAAGTCACTGCCCTCCTCTAGCCTTCTGAAGAAGTAGGAGGGTTGTATTTGATGATCTCTATGGCCCCTTCAAGCCCTAACACGCTCTTATTAATAATAATGATAATTAATTTATTTTGGCATTTGCAAATATATTTATATATTGCATTAGCAAAATGCCTTGCAAATCTTCTCTTATTACATCCTCATAACAACCTTGTGAGGCAAGTACTGTTATTATCCCCATTTTACAAATGAGGAAACTGAGGCACACAGAGGTTAAATTACTTCCTCAGGGTCACACAGCTAGTAAATATCTGAGACAGGATTTGAATTCATTTCTTCTCGGCTTCACATCCAGCACTCTAACCACTGTACCACCCAGCTCCTTGACTCAGTGAGCAGCAAACTTTCCCCTCTCTGATTTTTGGTGCCCCTTGGCCCGGCTTCTCAGGGTCCTACATCAGAAGTGAATGAAGCCATTTTCCCCTTTGGTCTTTCTCCACAACATTGCCCTCGATGGTCCGCTCTCACTGGCCAAGCCCATTATCCAACATGGGGAGTAGACCTTGTCAGCATGTAGGGACTAAACCATCAAAACCATTCACTGAAATAGATCAGAGTTCACAGCAGAACAGAACTTCCCCACGAGGGAAGTCAGACCTCACTGGGCTCCAGGAACCTGGCCCCAAATGGTAACTGGGATCTAGTTTCCATTGAGAGCAAGTGAAGTGTCCTTGGAGACTGCTTCCCTGTTTTCTCATCATGGATGTAGACAAACAGAGAGGAGGGATAAGGGAAGAGTCTCTGCCATCAGGACAGGATGGCATCTCTGAGGGATACATTCCTAAGGGGCTTTCGTGGAGAGAGGAAACAACAACAGCTGATTCAAGGTACTCAGTGGCTGAAGGGGAGGGGCTTTGGCCGAAAGGTGGGCTGCTGGAGAAACTGAGATTGGTATTGATGACAACAACAAGTCAACATAGCACTACAAGATTTACAAAGATTAGGGGCAGCTAGGTGGAGACACTTACTAGCTGTGTGACCCTGGGCAAGTCACTTAACCCCAATTGCCTAAAAAAAAAAAAAGACTTACAAAGATTATATATAATACAATATATATTATATTAGATATATGTTATGTATATATTATTGCATTTGATACTTACCAAATCAAAAAATCAAATCAAAAAACAATCCTGTGAGCTAGGTACTATTATTACCACCATTTTGTACAGGTGGGGAAACTGAGGCTCAGAGAGACTGAGTCTAAGAAAGGCCTGTTCATGTCCTTGGCTTAGCGGACAAGTAAGTTGGTTTAGACACCTCTGAGTCTACAAAGTCCACGATGAGGTATGTTCACCAGTAACTGACTCTTGTCATAGTTATCTCATATGTTAGGATTTTGTCCACATGGGAACTCCCTACACTGATGGTATGATTACAGGATTATAGA